ACTAATTAACCTTCTTTCCACTAGTAAATAAACAATTTTCTCCATCCTTATACCATCAAGTTTTACTGTTATTATTCTTCGTATATTTTTAATTCTCTCATTTTTTGTTTTTGTTTATTTTCTCATTAGTGTAAACATCATTTAAGCTGTGTATTAATTGTTTTTTTTTCTTTTTCCCCTCACCATTATAGAGAATATTAGCCTCAATACTCTGTAACATGCTAAAATTTCCATACTGCATCGACAACATTCTTTGAAACGAACCTATTATTATTATTATAGCTACTATTCTCATTTTATACTTTGCACATTTTTGACATTATCCCTACTGTAAATGCTGAAAAGTTCGTGTGGTTAATTTTATTTATGATGTTTTGAGTAAATTAGATGCAGTGTTGTGAGAGATGCTGAAAATTTCATGATATATTACAAATACTATTTTCAAAATAAAGCAGATTCAACTGGAAGTGGCTAGTCTAGGTACTTCATCTTTCAGTCGAGGAATCACTATCGGTCGTGTAGAGAATAAGACGTATTTTTTTCTAGCATTAAAAGTTCTTTGAACTGATTTTCTTAATTTCTTCGTAATTATTTCGCTTGGTATATCGCCCTTGAATTGCAGTCGTATGCATAAAGGCTTCTTGTTTACGGATAGTGACTGATCCTTTTCCACTTTCTTTGTCATGTGTTTCTTGATAAATTTTTCAGGATGGCTATTTTCAATCAAAGTATCATATGCGATGCTTAATTCGTCTTCAATTACCTCTTCTGAGCATATGGCTGTAACTCTGTGGCTGAGGGTATTTACTAAATTTCTTTTGTACTTGAGAGGAACGAAGCTGTGAAAATGTGTATATTGTCCTGTCCATGTACTTTTTCTATGCAAATTTCTTTTTAAGCTACCATTTGGCTTTCTTGTAAGGAGGACATCCAGCAAGGGAATTCTGTTTTTTGGGATTCCTCTTCGCATGTGAATTTCATAGTAGAATGTACTTCATTGAATTCAGTTATTATTGTATTCCTATCCGAATCATTATCACAAAGAATGAAGGTGTCATCCATATACCGGTAATTAAATGAGAATTTTTGATAAGGTGGTTGTTCAAAGGTCCAGCCAAAATGGGACCCCATGGGGAGCCTATCGCCACCCCATCCACTTGTCTGTAAAGTGTTCCGTCAAATTTAAAATTTACATTCATGGTACACCTTAATAACAATTCTTTTGGGAATTCCGTTGGGATGCCAATATTTATCGACTGGTTATACACTTGTTCACATATATAGTTAACTGTTTGTACCAGAGGAATATTTGTGAATAAAGAATTTATGTCCAGAGATATCATGGTTTTGTTCTTGATATTAATATCTTTGATTTTGTCTACAAATTCAAATACAACTTTGATGCTATGCATCACTATCTATCTGTTCACGCAAAGGTTTGAGAATATTTACTAACCATCTAGCTAGAGCATGGTAGGGCGAACTTTGCATATCAATTATTGGTCTTAACGGTACCCCTGGTTTATGCACTTTAGGTAGGCCATACAATCTTGGCGTATACGTGCCTTTTAGTCTGATTTCTTCATATAAACTTTCAGAAAATATCTGCTCCTCCCTTAGTTTCTTCAAACGTCTGGTTAATTTGTTCTTTATTTTGTTATTGGAATCTTTCTTCTCCCCAAGTTTCTGGAACTTCTGTGTATCTTTTAATATATTATTCATCTTTTTTTAATATAGTCACCTCTATTATTATTATTATTGGATCGACATTATTCTGGTTCCTTACTGAGTACAAACTGAACTGAACCCTACCTGTTGCCGAATGCCGTTGAAGTAATAACATTTCTTCTGTATACGTTTAACTGCATACTGACAGCTGTGGTGCACCACCTGCAGTTAATATTCCTTCAGACGCGGTCACTGAATGTGTTTTCTCTCTCCCTGAAGTAAATTTCAACCAGCCAATCAATCAATCCATCCGTCCATCGAGGATGTAGTTATTTACCTGAATATCAGTTGGTTATCGGTTGAGTACAATCAACTTAATATGCTCATATGTACTATGTTATAAGTCAATTATTTGAACTACAGAAATATAGTAATTTAGTGACACTGTACGACTTGAAATTACGTCATCACGTTCGATAGTTCTTTCAGAAATGGAATTCTTTTCATATAAGTTTGACTACTTATATAAAAATAAATTATTTTTATTTGTTTTTTTACGAGTTGATCACGGATTGATATCAGTTAGAGAACCATTGAAAACCACCATGGAGTACTGGACAGCTGTTTCATCAGTCTAGTTTGGGAATCATCGGCAGTACGCACCCACCACAAGGGTTCGAACCCAGAACCTTCCGTGATCAACTCGTAAAAAAAACTAACCCGTACAAACCAAACTATAGAAAATTAATCTGATGCTCGCGAGTGACTTGATACAGGATGGAGTTTCCTGGAGTAAGTTCTAGTGAGAAGTCGTGACCAGTGAGGTTCATCCAAATGTCACGTGTGAGGATGGATGTTCCACCGACGACATTGGTTGGGGTCGCGCTAAATGTATCACGAATTGGTAGAGGTTAGAATTCATGGGATGACCACTGAGGTGTCGGATCCCAGTGGCTAAATGGTTTACGAGCTAGATTGTCTTGTAACCGGAAGGTCCTGGGTTCGAACCCAGACAGTGGGGTGGATGCGTACTGCCGATGATTCCCAAACTAGGCTGATGAAACAGCTGTCCAGTACTCCCTGGGTGGTTTTCAATGGTTCTCTAACTGATATCAATCCGTGATCAACTCGTAAAAACAAAACTAATCCTTACAAGCCAACTATAGAAAATAACAACTCGTGTGAAAACACGTAATATTGTGATTTTATTTAGATTGAATTATGTTTGACTCTTGATAATATCAACTGAAGAGATGTACGTGCATTAAGGAAGAAGTGTGTAAACTGAAACTCACCTTAAAAGGAAATGGATATCCAGAGAACTTCTTAAACAAAAGTATATGTCGATAACCTAGAGATAGGGTAACGATGGATTGATACCGTAGTTAAGAAGCCTTTGGATCTTAAGTTAAATTACAAAGGAGAGATTGCAGCTAACATTCTAACATGTCGACTTGATAGGACAGTAGAGGGAACATTTTCTGCAGGTAAACTGGTACTCAGCGTCTCAGCTTAACCCAGTGTTCACAAAACAATTCAAAGACAATTTATCCTCATCAGTGGGAATCTATGAATTTCACTGCTTATGTGGAGCTAGTTATATTAGCCGTACTCAGACGGCTATATCCATGCGCGCACGTGGACATTTACCTGTGTGGTTGAGTAAAGAGATAACCAAAGGCGCAAATAATGCAGCCTTAGCCCACCTATCAGATACTAGACACTAAATAAAACCAGAGCAGTCGTTCTTAGTTATCTACCGGGTTCCTGGTAGACTACGTCTTCTATCAGTAGCTGAAGCGGTAGCAGTCAATACCAGAAGACCGGGTCTTTGTATACAAAAGAAATATGTCCAACCATGGCCTACAATAAGGTCAACAAATCCTCCATAAACATTAGCACTTTAAATTCCTATCACAATTTTCTTTTCTCTTCTTCTATTCCTTTGTTTCATTGACAAACGTTCATTTCTGACCTTTTACAACTTCATTAACTTTCTTAGGATTTCTATTAACTTAGGTTAAAGTAATGCTTCCTCTAGCTTGTTATCGTATTCACAAAATTCTGTTCATTTCACTTCACTAAACTGATTATTGTTATTATTATACGACAACTGTTCACTAATAGTACTCATAAGTTTACACCACATCATCGTTATTATTTCACAATCATTATTATTGTTATTTGTATGTTCTCCCCCATTTGTTGGTTTATTTTTCTGTAGTATTCATATTGTCTCATACACCACTAATTACACTCACCCTCGAAGCCTGTACTTTTGTTCGTTATATGTACACACACATCATTAAATTATTTCATCTCATTTTATCTCATTTTCTCAGTGACCATGGATATTCAAAAAGCTAACTGACTATTGTTCCATCCCATCTTATACTTGTTCTACAATACACTTTCTGATATGATTCTAATTTGCCTTTACTGGCTAGCTGGCTATTGTATGCTTAAATTAATGGATTTATAATTGGTTACAGGAACCACTGGAAAACCAGCTGAGAGTACTGGACAGCTGTTTTGCCCTAGTTTGGGACTCTCCAGCAACATACACACATTGAGTGGGGTTCGAACCCACGACCTTCTAGTTACAAGGCGAGCGAGCTCACAGACCATTAAGCTACTGCGACTGGCTAATCCAATGACCAGTCCATGAATTCTAACTTCTGACAATTCACACACGATATAGCACGACCACTTTGAATGTCTTCTTTGGTGAGTTACTGCCTCACCTTCAACCTACTCACCCTACTGGTCACGACTTCCCACTAGAACCCCAGGTAACTACCTAGCTGAATAGGGCCAGTCACTAGTGAGCATCAGATCAATATTTTCAAGTATTGGTTTTTGTAGGGGATTTTATTTTGATTGGTTGGAGGATTTCATGGTTCTCTAATTAATGTCAGCTGATGATGAAATCCTCCAACTAATATTTACTCCTTGAACGAATGAACAGCTAAATATTACGAGGATTAAGACCTCACACCCAGTGTGGCTTAATAGACAATACTGTGGGCATTTGAAGCGATCGATACTAAACTCAAGTTCCAGTGGAAACACTACAATTCACTCCGAAGTAATTACTTACATCCAGCTGATGAGTCCCGATATAGGGTGATCACTCATTATTAAATCTCCTGCTTGCAGCCACCACCAAACAAGTGACTGTGAACGAAATTAGTTATTTTCAAGGCATTCATTCTCAGCTGAAATATCATCATAACTTAAAGTGTATCAAAATATCTAACGAAAACGCAACATATTACATACACATTTCAACAACAACAAAAAAACCAACAAACAATCGTCAGAACACCTACCTGTTATGCAATAGGATCCTTTATGATTGTCAAATGAATTATGTGAACACCCATCAATACAGTGTGAAATAATCTTTGCCGCCAGCAACTTTGACTCTGCACTAAACTCCTCATTGTTTGTCGACAGTATCGAATCTGAGATATCTCGAGTGTTCTTTAACTCATCTTCATTTGAAAAATATTTTCTTTTCATCCCAGGTTTACTATCCTCTTTATATTCTTTTATCTTAAATGATGGTGATGACGAGATTTTCGAATTTCCCTCTCCTCCATTAATGTATTCAATGTGTTCAATATTATTCATTAAATTTAACTGTTCATTTTGAAGTTTATCGTTTGCCTTATTAGTAGTAGTAGTATTAATAATCATAGTAGTCTGTGTAGATTTCTCTAAAATATCATGTATCATAAATGATGTTCTTAATTGACAAAGTTCATGAATTGACGAGGGAATAAATCTTGTCGACATCGACGTTGATATTGAAGTTGACGGTAGCGTTAACGGTAATGACAGACTAACATTATTTGAAGTGACGTGTAATTTATCATTGATTTCTGAAGCATTACAATGAATTTGAGCTTGAGATAATTCCATAATAAGCACAGTCTATGATATATACTTGTTTGCAATACGATTATTATTATTATGTGTTGCGTAATAATTATTTTTACAAGTACAAAAGATATATGATTTAATGTGTGTAGATTTTTCCAAAAACACAATAATTGTCTGTACACTAACAATGTTTTATGTACACCCAAGACAGTGACATAATCTCAGAATTCCTCCCTACTACTACTACTACTACACAAGGTGATATGAATGCATTTCTTCTTTGAGCATTCCTTTTTTTCTCCTGTTATCTCCAATTATAAATAACACTATGATAATTAATTGGTAGCATAACTTTTATTGGAAATTTATATGAATATAATAATAGGGAGGATTGTGGAATACCACCTGAGAACAATAATATGGGGAAGATACACCTCCACACACACCACACAACCACACACACACGCATACTTACATGAAATGAGTGATTGTTTTACATAATGCTGGAAAGAAGTGAACAAGAGACAGGGTACAGGATACAGGGTACAGAGTACAGGGTACAAATCCATCGTTTTGTTGATAGCTTTTGAGTATGAATGAGTTTGTTGATTTTTGATTGGATAAGAAAATAGATTGGGAAATAAAAATTATAAATAATAATAATATCTTCATTTACTTATCATCTAAACAGTTTAAATTGTTTTCAACTACTCAAATCTTTGTCTCTACCCCGTCTCTCCCACTGTTCCTTTCTCCCTTCTGAAGACTAGTTAGTACGTACGTTTATGCGTTTATGCGTATATGCGTGTATGTATGTATCAAACAGCTTATCAGCAGGAAATAATTATTGGAATTATAGATATGAATATACATCTGAGAATGGAATATTTTGTTCGTTTATAACACTGTCTAAATGGTATAATGTGTGGGTTTTTTGTTTGTCTAGAGAGGGATGTACAAATATATATATATATCTCCCCTGACCTTATTTCTCTATGTGAATAATGCCTTTAAGTGTTTGAGTTAAAGAAACAACCAAATATATTTGAAGTTTTGCATTATACGAGCTCGTTGTATTTCGTGGATTCTCTGCCTCTCTCTCTCTCTTCAACTGCGTGTACATCCTAAATAAAAGTGAATAAAAATAAAGATCTATTCCTTACAAATCAACTCTTGAAAATTAATCTGATGTTCGCTAGTGAGTGACTTGCTACAGGATGGAGTTTCCTGGAGTAAGTTCTAGTGAGAAGTTGTGACCAGTGACGTCCATCCAAATGTCAAGTGTGTGAGGATGGATTTCCCACCGATCAAATTGGTTGGTACCAGTCGCGCTAAATACATCAAGAATTGGTAGAAGTTAGAATTCATGGGTTGGCCATTGAGGTGTCGGATCCCAGTGGCTGGATGGTATACGAGCTAGTTTGCCTTGTAACCGGAAGGTCCTGGGCTGCCGGTGGGTGCGTACTGGCGATGATTCCCAAACTAGGCTGATGAAACAGCTGTCTGGCAGTACTCGAGTGTTGGTTTTCAATGGTTCTCTAACTGATATCAATCCGTGATCAACTCGTAAAAACAAATCTAATCCTTACAAACCAACCATTAAAAATTGTCATCTGAGCCATTGATGTTAGAAATGATGGATCCTAAATAAGTGAAGGAAGTAACCTTTTTCAAATCGCTTTCAACTTGTAGTACCTGTTGGTCAGATGCCGGTGATTTCATGAATACATCGTGTACTTTCTTCTTTTCTCATAACATTCGAGGTATCAAGCAGACCACATAATAGTTTAAGTTTTCAAAGGTAACTGTGATGAATTTTCACTTCGAACTGTGTAATTTGCAAAAAAAACGTTGTACTTTATTCTAGTGCTCTGATATTTAAGAACTCGCCTTTTAACCAGAAGGTCCTGGTTTCGAACCCTAACAGTGGGGTGGTTGCGTACTGCCGAAGAGTCACCTACTAGGCTTACGTAACAGCTGGCTGTCCAGTACTCCAGTGTAGGTTTACCAATGGTTCTCTAACTCATTCCAGCTCATGATGAAATCCTCCAACCAATCAAATAGAATTTCCTACAAAACCAGTACTCGAAAGTATTGATCTAATGCTCACTAGTGACTGGCCCTATTCAGGCAGTTAATCTGAGGTTCTAGTGGTAAGCCGTGACCATTAGGGTACAGCGGATTGAAGGTGAGACAGTAACTTATCGAAGAAGACATTGCGAAGTGGTCGCATTATATCGTGTGTGAATTGTCAGAAGTTAGAATTCATGCACTGGTCATAGGACTGTTGGGTTCTAGTGGGTTGATGGTCTACGAGCTAGCTCGCCTTGTAACCAGGAGGTCGTGGGTTTCAACTATGGAGTGAGGTGGGTGCACACTGATAAGGAGCCCCAAACTACGCTGGCGAAACAGCTGTCCAGTACTTGACTGCTGGTCTTCCAATGGTTCTCTAACTGATGTCAGCTAATGATGAAATCCTCCAACTAATCCCAATAGAACCAAAAGGAGCTTTCATGGAATGGTTTGGTTAAAATATTGAAGTAACAGAAAAAAACTGGAATGAGATTAAATTTATTATTATGAGTAGATACATTCACCAATGCGTCGGTGGTTCAGAAGCAGAATGCTAGCCAACTTCGCTTCACATAATCCGGGGTTCGATCCGCGGCCACTTGACGCACTCCTAGACCTTTCTAATTCAGTGATAAGGCTGGTAAAGAGGAGGTGGGTTGGGTGTGAAGCTAGCAACCCCACCCCGTGAAAATAAACACCATTGCTACCGAAACCTCAAAGCTCTATCATGAAGCCCTATGTACCACCACTTGGAACGTAAAGGAATAAAATAATAGTAATATAAGTAGTATATTCATGCATCAATTTTGTATCCCTTACATGTCCACAATAATAAGAAAGTCACATATAGAACTCACCCACACATACTATCTTCAAATTTCAGTGAGAAATATATACATAGGCAAAGAGAAGGAGTAGTGATAGGCTCATAAATATCCTCAACAGTAGCAGGTATCTTTATGGAGAGTTGGTAAAATATAGCACTTAAAACAATCAGTAGTACTCCAAAGATCTCCTGTACATATGCATGCTGTTAAAAACAGAACATATTTCTACTTTCTTCACACATATAAACTCAATAGTGGAGGAATATTATTATTTTTTTCTTTAGTTCCTAGAGGAACATAGGGCTTCAGCCGCACGTCTCCATTGCGTTCGGTTCTCTGCCAACGTTTCCACCTGGCTCCATGTCTGCCCACATGCTTTCATCTCCTCTTCACATGACCTCCTGCATGTCACCCTTCACTGACGACCAACTAGCTCGCCGCTTCCCGTTCGGGTTCCACTCAGCGATGGCCTGTATTGTGATGTCACTTGATGGTTTGTTTCCTCAGAGTATGGCCTCCAATCCACCTCCATTTCTTCCTGCATATTTGTTGCACAATTGGTTCCTGCTGAGTTGGTTCGCTCCTAGAGATCCCTGTTGCTGATCTTTTCTGGCCATCTGATCTTGAGCGAAGTATTGAGCGAAGACAGCTGTTGATGAAGGTTTGTAGTTTATTCGAAGTGCCCTTCGTGACACGGCACCAAGTCTCTGATCAGTATAGTAAGTAGCACTGACTTCACATTGGAGTTGAAAATCCGGATCTGAGTGCTGTTGACCTCCACACAGACTTGAGAGTAGAGGATGACAACTTTTATCGGAGTTAGAAAATGAATAAGGAGTATTAGCTATGTTAGGTTGTAAATTAAGACGAACAGAAGAAGGGAAATTGTGCACTAGTGTTCATATAAAGCTATCGCGCTCTGTAGTAAACATTTAGACTTTAAGTCATCTTACCTGTTATCAGCAAATGCAGGCTTAGATAAGTGCCTACTGAACCGAGCGAAAATTCCAAGTAGTACATCAGAAAGCCTGAATAACGAAATCAAACGGATAAGAGAAGCATTTTGACAGCAAAACAATTCCATAAAATTCATTAGGAAGTTCAAGAAAGCTCATAATAAATGAAGAAATAGAAGTGAGACTCAAGTGTTGGTTTGCAGGGATTTGATTGGTTACTGGATTTCATCATAAGCGGACATCGGTCAGAGAACCATTGGTAAGTCAGCCAGGGAATAGTGAACAGCTGTTTCATCAGCCTAGTTTGAGACTCTTTGGCCCCACTATTCACCCATCCCACTGTCTGGGTTCGAACTCAGGACCTCCCAGTTACAAGGCCATTGAGTCAGTGGGACCCAACACCTCAATGGCCAGCCCATAAATTCCAACTTATGTCAATTCACGCACGATATAGCGCGACTGGCACTAGCCAATCCTATCGCCGTCCTCACATCCAACTTTCTATACCCTGCTGCTAACGACTTCCCAATAGGACCCAGGTGACTGCCTATCTAAATAGGGTCAGTAGTCGCTAGTGAGCATCAGATTAATATTCAAATGTTGGCTTGCAGGGATGGACTGATGTCGGTTAGAGAAACATCGGAAAACCTGGGCCTACTCCTAGGTTTTCCACAGTTTTTTCCATATAAGGAAGGGACAACTGAACTCTTATGTAGGATTCTTGATCAGTCAAGAACTAGGGTGGCATTCAAACCTAAAAATTCACTCAGGGACAAAAAGTATGGGCTAGAGGACCTTATTAACCCCAATTAGACAAATTAACTTGACCTACAAAATACCTTGTAATAACTGTGACATCAACTGTAAAGGTCAGTTCAGTAGACTAGGGTTAGTTAGGTTATCAGAACATGGGAATTTAGCTAAGTGCAGAATTACTGACCGAAAAAAACTAACCAAATTGGGAAAAACTCAGCAATAGTAATGTGTGCACATTCATACATGCGTAATCACATAGTAGGATGGGTTGTAATATAGTTCCTTGGGGATAGAGGTTCATCTAAAAACAGAATATGTGCCTTATTGTAGCGTATAGTCCCATAGAAGAATAGTTTTACTGGCTGAAACTCATTCCGATACAACATAACTTAATAACATCATTTGACACTGACATGGCAACGGTAGAAGACAACAGACTTAGGAGAGGATGTTTGTATGGAATTTGGTATCGCTGCTTACAGAATATATATAACGAGCAGCACCAGTCACCATCAGCGGGAGAAATTTGACAGAGTTTACTTCCTTCACTTATCTAGGAAGCATCGTTTCAACTACAGGCAGGCGGAACGGATGAAGATGTCTAAGCGAGCCAGCCAGCCAACCAGAATTCAAAAGGCAAGATACGCCTTCATCAACGTGAAAACAGTTTGAAAATCTTCTGTACTACGCCTCCGCATAAAGAGAAGGTGACAA